TGATATATTTGATATATATGCACACATACACATGAGATCAGTCCTTCCACATTTAAATAAAGACTGAGGTGGTGATATTACCTAAATCTCCTAATTTCTCCTTTCTCTGCTGTCTGCCTTTTGTATCCCCTTGCCTAATGGAAACGATATTGAGATCTCAAAACATTTCCCACATTTTGTAGGCTTAACAAAAGATATTAATCTAATATTAATTTTGGAAATTAATTTAAAGCTGTATAAAGAACCAAGAAACTGCTGGAGAGAGAGAGGATTGACCATTATGTTCACTTTGTCTTAGATATAACCTGACAGCTATATATAGCAAGCCTGTCGCATACTCCCACACTCCATCATAAGACTATAATCCTGTAAACCCACCTGGGTCTAAATTCCATTATACTCAGTAAGGCTTAGAAATGTGATGAATCAAAATGGAACAGGTTTCTCCACTCCCAATTACCATTTTCTAATGGTAGAAAGCAGAAGGGAGGAGGAACAGAAAATATGTGTGAAATATTTCAACTTTGGAACTGAATTAAATACTTTAAAATTATAGTATGTAATGTAGTAGGTTAAAACAAGGTTGACATGTAGTATGAATAATAGTATATAAGGCAGGAGTAGGAAACTCAGAGCTTCTGAAATTTGTTAGACTTCAGCTGCTATTACTACTGACCACTAAGCATGCTAGTTACGGATGATAGAAGTTGAAGACCTTACCATTTGGAGATCCATAGGTTTTCCACTTACTAGAACAGTACAAGAAGCAATTATGCTATATCTTTGCTCTTTTGCTTGTGTAAAACAATGCAAATTATGCACAACAACTTGGAAGTCTCAGTTAACTCAGCGAGATATACTCTTAGGCAAAGAGAAGAAGAAAACTTTGACCTTTCAGAATTATGTTGGATTATAACTCTCATCATCCGTAACCATGCTGGCAGAGGTTGATGGGAGTCCAGTATAATTTGGAGAGCCAGATTCCCAACCCAGAATTATGCTTTTGAGGACACAATCCTATGCACACTTACCAAGAAGCAACATGCCTTCCAACACTCCCAATTTGGCAGATACAGTCCCAATTAATCCTCTGCTATCCCATTTTCTGTTTCTTTCTCTTCCTCACATGCTCCCCCCTCTGTCCTCAGGTTACTTCAGTGGCTGCAAAGTGCATTCAAAGTACAGAGGTGGTTTGCGCTCAATTAACTCAAAAATTAGGGTAGAATATACTGTATATACTTGTGTATAAGTTGAAAAAGTTATGCCCCAAAATTGCCCCCCAAAACCTGGCTGACTTATATGGTAATATTGCTAGAAAGAAATGGGGTGTGTGTGTGGCTGTTTGGGGTTTCCAGGCCCAAGGAGAGAGCCAGGTGATGGCAGAGGAGGACAGGCAAATGCTTACCCTTTGAGGCTCCTCTGCCACCTGGTTTTCTCTGCCTGAGGCGCAGGAAGAGGGAACCTTTGCCCCTCAAACTGCCCTCCAGCCTTTGCCGTGGCAGTGGCTTTCTCCTCAGGAGGAGGCCATGGTGGTTGTGAAGGAGAAGAACAAACACATCCCTCCAGACGGGGCCCAATCCAAACAAAATCCACACAAAATCCCGACCGATACCGGATTATTGGCCCGTGTTTTCACACGACGTCGCACAGAACCCCGACAGAAAGTGGACAGAAAGTGGAAAGATCCAAGATCTTTTGAATTTCGGTTTCTTGAGTAAATGCAATTGCGTGATGAGGGTGATTCCGCATTTACCGCAAATGTGA